CCATCCACCCACCCATCCACCCATCCATCCACCCACCCATCCATCCACCCATCCATCCATCCACCCATCCATCCATCCACCCATCCATCCATCCATCCATCCACCCACCCATCCATCCATCCATCCACCCATCCATCCATCCACCCATCCACCCATCCATCCATCCATCCATCCATCCATCCATCCATCCATCCATCCATCCACCCATGCATCCACCACAGATCTCTCTCCACGGAGTGCATGTTTCCTTTCCTGCTGGGCCACCCTGAGGTCACTTCAGCCCTGGAGACTCTGCTTGTAGGTCCTGACCCTTTGACCCCGTGAGCATTGACCGGTTCTCACTGTGTTCCCCGAACCCCACAGTAAAATAAACAAGAAGAAGCAGAAAAAGCAGGTGGACAGGAAGGGTGGTCACAGCAACGAGGCCTTGGAGCTGGAGGAGAAGGAGTCCTCAGATGGCGAGAGAGACAAGAAAACAGCCCTGTGAAGCCCTGCAGCCTGGAGGAGCTCCATCCACTCCACCCAAACCGCAGCCGCTACAGGAATCCCAGCCGGTGCCACCTGGATCTCAAAACTGTCCCCACACGAGGAGGCCAGCTCGGCCTGCCATGTGTCCACCCCATCCATACACTCACCATCGGCTGTGTCCCTCCCCACCCCTCTGCTGTCCACTCCTCACCCCCCTCCTCTGGCGCATCCATCCTGCCCCCTGGCATCACCTGACTGCCTTTGCTGATGGCCCCGCACCCCTGAGCCCCTTCCAGCGGGATTTGTGTCTAGGAGGAGGGACGCTCGCTCTGTGGCCTGTGCTTTCTCAGCCAGGGTCTCTCTTCTCCGGACTCCGCCTCCCTCCGTGGTCACCTGCTTCTGAGGATGCTGTCCAAGGAAGGGGCCCTTGCTTCGTGTGGCCAGGGGAGGCTGTTTTCGGTGACACTTCCAGCAGAGGCCACCAGGGGGAACCCGCCAGCACTTTCCCTCAATAAAGGCCCCTAATGCTCTTGTTGGTGCCTTTGTGAAGGCGTAGGAGGAGGCCAGAGCCCAGGGCGGGGTTCCAGGCCACCAAGGAGCTCGGCCCAGGCAGGCTGGGAGCAGAAAGGTCTAGTGGGTTCTCATGAAGGTTTTAGACTGAACTGGGCCCCTCCGCAATGCTGTGTGGCCCTGGGAAGGTGCTCCAACTGCTCCGAAGTCCCCTGCCCAGCAGTGATCAGGAGGCAGGGTCCTGTACATCTTCTCTCCAGTCCTTCCCACACAAGGGTGGAGCCTAAAGGGGACCTCCGGCTCTTCGCTTTAGGCAAAGGGGTTGGGTTCTTTCTCATTTGGAGACAAGGTCTCATGTAGCCCTGGCTGGTCTCAAATTCTCCATGAAGCCAAAGATGACCTGATCCTGATCCTCCTGCCTCCACATAGGCCTGGGCTACCATGCGGTTCTCACGGCTCTGGTTGAGGAGCCCAGGGCTATGATAGAGCTGGACGCTTGGTGTGTTAGGAGCCTGACCCCCCTGCCAAGACCAGCATCGCTTCCCCCCGAGCCTGAGTGAGCAGGGCCCAGCAGCGGGAGGCCTGGACTTGGGGGCACAGTCCAGTGTTGTGGGCAGAAGGCACGCACAGCCCGTGCAGAGGGCCTGGGGGGCAGCCCCCTCCCCCAACCCGAGCCCCTTATGGACACACAGAAAGGAAGACCAAGACAGTCTGAGAGAGTTGAAGCTTAAGCTTGTTTAATTTTTATACATTTTTCTTTCTTTTATTTATTTTTTTGCCTTTTATTGAATCTTTTATTGACCCCCCCTTTACTTTTTTTCCTTTTTTATTTTTATTTATTTATTTTTTTGCATAGGGAGAGACAGAACAGCAGGCTGTCAATGGTGCTTAGGCGCGTCCACAAAACAAAACAAAAACTCAGAAACCAAAATGGGTTTGTAATATATGAGGTTATGACTGGAGTATGCTGTGGCATGGGCGAAGGAGCAAGCTGGGCCGGGGAGGACGGACGGGGTGGTCGGGTGGGGTGGTGGTGGCGGGGTGGCGCAGGCGCGTTTATGAAAAGCTGAAGGTTAGAGATGCAACAACCCAGGAGTAAAATACAAAATGGTTGAATGGAAACAGAAATCTCGAAATAAACCCAGAAGATCTTGGCAGGAAAATGAAACAGCCAGTCTTACCACCAAGAAGACAAAGCAGGACAGGGGAGGGTAAGTGAGAGAGAAACGCCACCCCCCCCCCCACGCTCCCGGCTGCAGCCTGCGAGCGCTGTCCACTCTGCACTGTCTAGTCCCTCATACCCAATGCTTGTCCAGGCACCGCAGGGGGACTCGGGTGCTCACGCTGGGAACCTCAGACTCAAAGGGGCTTCCGTTTGGGGGGGGGTGCGGCTGCCTGGCTGGGATCTGAGGTTGGAAGGGGGTGTGAGGTTTTGGGGGTACCCAGCTGGGTCCCCCAAGCTGGGGTGGTGAGGCTCGGTGCTGGGGGAGGGGTGATAGGGGTGCAGCCTCCCTCCCAGCACATCTGCTCTTCTCTCTCCCAAGTCTAAGGGGGCCTGCGGGGAGGCGGGGGGACCCCACAACTGCACCATCGATGTATGAGGCACTGATCGGGAAGGGACTGTTTGGTATCAGGGCTACAAGACTGGGGACTGGTGCGACATCCCCTCCCACCTCAGCGCTGGGATGGGTGACGACGGGGTGACAGTCCGCAGCCATGTGCCCGTCGGAGAGATGGACGGAGGGAGGATAGCCACTGACAAGTGGGACTGAGGCCTGGGCAGTTTGCAAGGGGTGGGCAGCGTATCAGGAGTGGTGGTGCACGCACACACGCACGCCTGTCGTCAGAGCAACTGAGAAACTGAGGCAGGAGGATTGCCGTGCCTGGGCAGCCTGGCAAGACCCTCCTGTCTCAAGATAAAAAAACAACCAGTGGAGGAGAAAAAGTGGCTGGACCTGGAACCGAGCACCCAGAAATGAGCACTCACTCAGCGTCTATCCTCACGGGGACAAAGCTGCTGTGCTCAGCACTGGGGAGGGGGGGGTGAACTCTCAACTGAGTGTGTGTGTATGCACATGTGCAGCAGCCGGACCTGGGCCAGGTACCGCGGGGAGCGGCCTGAGCCCCTGCCCACTGGCCGGGACGTTTGCTGGTGGCCTGGGGACACACAGAAGGCCCTGGAGAAAGGGAGGGAGTCAGGCGACCCTGGCCCTGTCCTTGAGGGGAGCTGGGAGGAAACACACCCCCCTGATGCCATGCCTGCCTCCCTGGGCATTCCTGATTACCAAGCTCAGGACCCCAGATGTCTTCTGGTTCCCAACTAGGAAACAGGGTCACAGGTTAGACCCCAAGCGGTAGACTGTGGGGGCAGAGGATGGTGGCCTGAGGAGGGGATGGGCTTGGAAAATGTTAGTTTCATATACAGAAAAACGAAGCCAAAATTCCCAGTTGCCTGTCCAACCCTAAAGTCAGCCATCTGAGGGCCCGGGCCAGTGCGGGGTCCCCAGGTAGCTGGGTGGGGATTGGAGATTTTCTGAGAAATACGGGGAGGGGGACTGAGGCCCCCCCCAACCTGCCGCCAGACACGTTCTAACTTGTGCTGATGGCCCCAGGGTGGGGACCATCTTCCCCCCCCCTCACCATCCTGTGGGGTGGAGGACACAGGGTGGAGACAGAGTCATGGGGAGAACTGATGGACCCCGCCCCCCCCCCAGGCTGAGGCTGGCACCCTGGGGTGAGCCTGTGATAGCCTGATAGCGCCCAACACTCAGAGGGGTGAGTGGGAGGGCCAGCTGCCGGGCAGGGGGCTGGAAGAGGCAGGGGGATGGCTTAGAGCTGCGACTCCTGTCCGCCCACTACCCCTGGCTACTGCCTTAGCTTTGGTGAATTTAAGAGCAGAGTTAACACAAGACAGAAACACAACTCAAAGGCAACCACAAACGACAAAACCAAAAAGGAAAGGGAAGGAGAAAATCTGAGACCACGCACGGACAGGACAAGGCCGCCCCGCACGGGACGGAGACCACCGCGTCCCCGCCGCCCCGCCGGACGCCCCACAGCTGAGCTCGACCCACAGACAGACGCGTATTGCATATTTTCAGCTTCGTGGGCTGCTGGAAGACGGAGGAAGGGCTGGGGAGGGCGGGCGGTGGGGATGAGCACCAGAGAGTCCCGTCCCCCATGCGCGGGCGGGCGAGGGGAGGGGCGAGGCCGGGAGGGGCGGGGTCACAAGCCATGGCCGATAGTGTGACTTCCTTAATAGTGTTGTTTTCTTGTTCGTATTATTTGGTTTCTTTTCTTTTTTCCCTTGAGGCAGTGTCTCACTCTGTAGCCCAGGCTGGACCTGGGACTCACAGCAATCCTCCTGCCTCAGCTTCCCAAGGGCTGGGATCACAGGCGTGTGCCACTATGCCCAGCCTTTTTTTTCTTTTATATAAAAAAATTCTTTCTTCTTTTGATATTTTTCTTTTACAAATAGAAATACCACCCTTTTGGATTTTATTTTTTATTTCATGTAATCGCTTGTCTGTTTGTAACTATGCGTGCAGGGCATGCGTCTGTGTGCGCGGATATTATTTAAAAGTTAATACTTGTCCTCGGGAGAGCAAGGCACATGTTGTGGTAGACAGTTCGTGCAAATTCGGAAATGGAATTTTTTTTGGTAAGGATATATACTTTTTTGTGTATCCTTTTTTTCCTTTTTTAGTAGGGCGGTGAGGGGCGCGGGCGGGCGGGCGGGGCAGACCGGGAGGAGCTGTCGTCATGCACGCAGCAGCCCGGGGACTCTCGGGTGTCGCGGGGCCTTAAGCACCATGCAGTTAGGTAAATAGTTGGTTCTGTCCTGACCCCAGGGGGACCCGGCTGGCTGGCTTGGGGGCGTCAGAGGGGACCAGCCAGGTCCACCCTGGGGACAGCCCGACCCATACCCACTGGCCTGAGCCCCACACCTGGACAGTGACCTCCACGATGTCCCCAATGGTCCCCCCTGCTGGAGGGTCCCTGAGGACGGACGGACGGACAGGTGGGTGGGGGTTCGAGGCCTCCAAGGCTGGGGAAGCGTCTTGGGGGGCTCGGTACGTTCAAGTGGCCTGGCCCCCTCCCTGGGAGGACGGCGGGCGGGTGGGCCTGGCCCTGGGGGCTCTGCTGGGATGATGGCTTGCGGCCTCCGTGGGCAGGGACACAGGCATGAAGGGGCCAAGATGGGCGGTTGGGGAGGGGGGACCCTGAAATCCTCAGCGTCCCCTCGCAGGGCAGCCCGCCCGGGATGGGGACCCGGGCGGTGTGGATGGGGTGCAGAGCTGGGGTGGGCACGGACCTCACACCCCATCTTAGTGTTCTCAGGTTAGTGAAGCCCGCGAAGCCGATGGGGACCCCGCCACCCCGCCTCCCGCAGAGCCTTCCCACCTGGGGGCCGAGTGCACTTCCACCAGCCTTCTTGGTCCCTGTGCCGGGCCCCACGTCGCCAGGGGGTCAAAGTGCAAAGGGGGCATCCCCCTGCAGTGGGGCACCCCAGGGTGGGTCTCCAGGAAGTAAGGCACTGGCAGAAGTGTAGGGGACAGCGCATGGCCCCAGCCTGGGCTTGGGGACACCCAGCTCCACCCCTGGGGTCCCATCTCTCTAGCGTGGAGGGCGCGCGGCGATGAGGAGCTGGGGTGCGCAGGGCGAGGGTGGGGGCCCCGGCCGCTGCGTCCCTGATGGACGAGGGGTCGGCAGGGGGGCGGAGGGTTAGGCACTTAGATCCGGCACCTCCCGCCTCCGGGGGCCTCGGCGCGGGGCCCCAGCTCCCCGCCTCTGCTCTCAAAGTGCTGATACTTCCCGTGTGCGGAGGGGGAGGCCGGGGCTGCCTGGCCTCGCGTGCCGGGGTGGGGCTGGGGACCAATTGCATAGAGAGATGATGTCCTTCCGCGGAGGTCCAGAGGGGGCCGAGCCCAGGCGGAGCCGACGCGGGACCCTCCCGGGGGTCCCCAAGTACCTGTGGCCGCCTGTCCCCAGCGGGGCCAGCGCCGGGCAGCCCCGCGCCCTCTCCAGGCCTCCGCTGCCCGCGCGGGTCCTTCCACCTCCTCGGCCAGCACCGCCTCCGGTCTCCTGTCTTTGGCAAACACCGTCAGGACGGTCGGCGGAGGTCCCGAGGCTGGCGCTGGCGGCAGGGGACTGGGGAGAGTGGCCCGGCGGTGGCCCACCCCGTCCTCTCCGTCCATCTGTTGGCGATGGGCGTGGGTGCCAGGCCGGGCTCGCCTGGTCTGGGGCGATGGCAGGGTCCTCGGGGCGCAGAAGGGCTGCAAGCAGCCGTCCATCAGCAGCAGGTGCCACAGACCCGCAGCTCCACCTTCTGTCGCCTCGGTTGGGAAGGATTTTCCGTTCTTTTTCCTGTTTGTCGCTTGTCCCTTCTCCTCCTGCGTCTTTTCCGTCGCGCTGGGAGTCGGCAGGGAGCGTCTCGCTCGTTCAGTTCCCACTGAAAATGCAGGCTGGGGCCATCACCTCGGGACTCCCCGGCCGCGGGGGCGTGGGACGGCGGCCTCGGCTATCCCAGGTACCAGGACTGCGGCGGCGGGGGAGAGACAGGGGTGTCAGGAGCGGATCCCCGCCCCGCCATCCCCGCCCCGCCCATCCCGGCCCCGCCCATCCCGGCCCCGCCCCGCCCATCCCGGCCCCGCCCCGCGGATCCCGGCCCCAGACCATGATGCCAGGCCTGCCCCTCCCAGAGACGCCAAGTCTGGTGCAACGTCAGGGACGTAAGCACGTCCGCCCCGTGTGACGTCACGGACTCGGGGTAAGTCCGTCCCATGTGACGTCACGACCCGGGGTCAGTCCGCCCCGTGTGACGTCAGAGCCGTGACCATATCAAGCGTGTGGGGGCCCAGAGTCGTGTATCTTGCTGACCCGGGCCCTGGCCTCCTGTGGAGCCTGTGAAAGCGCATGTGTGGGCGGCCCCAACTGTGGCTCAGTATTAGACCAGGCTAGCCTAAAACTCGGCGTACCGGGAGAGCCTGAACGTAACGGTCCCCCTGCCTCAGTTTCCCCAGTATCAGCATGACGGCCCGTGCCCCCACACCGGGCTTATTTGTCTTTAACAGTCATGCCCCTGCCCCAGCAGCCAGGAAGCTGCGGCTGGGCTGAAGAGGGCGGACGAGAACCAGCTCCGACTAGTCTGGCTTCAGATTCCCCTTCTGCCCCTCCAAGGCCCCTGGGTATCAGTGAGCACTGTCCTGGGAGTCCAGGCCGGCCTGCGGCTAAGTCTCCTCCAAACCACAGCAAGGCGTCTTGAAAAACCAAACCAAACCAAAAAATAAAATAAAATAAAAATCCACCCCAGAGCGAGGGGCTTCAGCCTGGGGCCTGAGGACTCGGGCAGGGGCCGCCTGCGAGGGAGGGGCGGGGTGGCCGAGGGGGCAGCGCCTCTCTCGGCCCCTCCCTAACCAAGCCCAGGCTCCTGTGTCCCTTACCTCACGTCTGGTTTCCTTGGCAACCAGACAGGCTGGGGTGTGACCCTGGCCTGGCGCTGGGCCGCGGCCTCCGCCTCCACCTCCCCGGGGACCCCGAGTCTGCCGAGCCTCGGCCTCGGTCGGATGGGAAGGGGGGGACACAGTGCGCAGGGGCGGACGGGGCGGGGGCGGCTGCCGGGGCCGAGGCCGCGCCAGGAATAACAATGGAGCGGCCAGGAAGTGCTGAGTGCGCGGAACGAGCGAGCGAGCGGGGCTGGGGGACGAGCCCCTGATTCCCGGGGTGGGGGACGAGCCCCTGATTCCCGGGGTGGGGGACGAGCCCCTGATTCCCGGGGTGG